GTTTTCATTTCGCTTTTCAACTTAATTAAGAAATCCAATTAACATCATTGGCATTAGATGTTCCAGAATATGCGCAATTTGTTTTGTTTTATGTTGGCCACATTTACACACGCACGCAGGTCAGTGTGTGCGTCTGTGTGTGACTGTGTGTGTGTGTATTGCGGCTTTTGGCTTTTCTGCATATGTAAAGCAGGAGCAGTAGCAGGATCTGTGTCGCCTTTGCCGCCATTGATAACGCCTTTCAGTTTGTCATTGCGTGCGGCCCAATACGTGTAAGTGTGCGTGTATCTGTGACTGTGTGTGTGTGTGTGTGTGTGTGTGTGTGTGTAAGACACGCAAAGTTCAAAACATTAACAGCAATGACAAACAACTCAGCAGCAACGGCAGCTGCTTTTCCTGTTTTCCCATTCAATTTATATGTTGTTATTGTTGTGGGCGTGGCAATGATAGAAACTCAGCAAACAGACAGCACACACACATACACACACTCACTCATGCATGCATAGCCACCTGATCAGCTTTGTGCTTGCCTTTAGCGCGCCCATCGCTAATCACAGCAGCAGCAACAACAACAACAACAAACAACAACAAGAACAACAACAACAACCAACGCCTAAGCCTGTCACAGCATTGAGCCTTAAGCTTTACTCTGCCATTCCAACTCAACTCAACTGAGCTTAACTCATCGCATAGCCAAAGTCAACGTCAAACTTGGCACAGCTTTGCCCGCAGCTCTCTCGCTCTCTGTGTCTCTCTCTCTCTCTCTCACTCTCGCTCACTCTCTCTTGCGCTGTTATTACCATATACAGCAACAAACAAAACAACAGCAGCAGCAGCAGCCTGCACATTAAAGAAAATCTACTTAGCATTAAACCAATTCTACTTAGTTAGTAGAAGGTCGCAGGCTCGCAGGGCGGGGCTGCGGGGCACGGCTTTTGTGAACGTTTTCATTAGAGCGTACAAAATGCGAAAGCCAAACTGATTAAGGCCTCAATTGAAAGACAGCATTTGCCACACTCATATGCACAAGAGCGGGACGAAAGAGTATAAGTACACACGCGCACACACATGCATACCTGCTTATGTGTTAATGCGTGTGCGTGTGTGTGCTAATTAGAGATGTGCAAGAACGAGACATTCAACGCTTGAGGGAGCTCAGGCTCAGACTCAAAAGCACGAAAAAAATAAAAATGCACCGAATTAAGCAGCAAAAGAAAACTGCAACAAATATCTTGTCAACATTCGAATATCGCAGCTTATCTCGTTCCAAGAACCAAATGTGGTTTGTAGGGAAAGTCTCAATTATTAAAAGAAAACAATTGAAATAACACTTTCACGCCTAGAAATCCAACAAACTGTCTGTCACGTACAGACACGCATGTGGCTAAAGTCGTCGAAATCAGCGTTAAATATGCCTTTTTTAAGTAACATGTTTTGCTTTAGGGACTTGTCAATGTGGGCCTGCGGCCTGGGGGCTATCAAGTCAAGTTCACGATACGTGCGCGTTCACAATTGAGTCACGCGCCCATCTCGAATGCAGATGGACTGTAACAGTTAGAGAGACAAATAAGCAGAAAGTAAAAGGCGACGACTAAAGAGCGTGTGGCAAAGCTCAAGCATCAACACACAGGCACGTAACGGGTTTCGCTGCGTTGTGAGGTTATGGGTAGATTTTATAAACAAATATTTGGATTTAACGGCATTGCGACGCGTGCGCCGATGTGGGCGCGCATTATGCTTAATTTAAAGAAAATGTTTAGTACTCGTTAGTAGCAGGCAGCATTTTAGGCACTACGCATATGTATGCGTGTGTGTGTGTGTGTGTGTGTGTGTGTGTGTATGCGTGTGTGTGTGTGTGTGTGTGTGTGTGTGTGTGGCTTGGCGCTCACTTAGTTACAGTTAAACTAACGCTCGCTGCCAGCTCGTGCTTATGCCGAAATAAAAATAAATAAATAACAAAATAAAAAGAACGAACGGAACAAAATAAAAAGCAAAACGAGAAAACCGCACCCAAGTTGAGATTACTTATCTTTAGTTTTCATTTAAATATGAAGAGCCAAGTGCTGTAACGCTGTGTGCGTGTGTGTATGTGTGCGTGTGTGTGTGCGTGTGTGTGCGCGCGCGCTGTACTTTCATTTATTTGGCTGCTTTTGGTTTCCTTTCGACTTTTACTTTATGGTTTTTTATTTTCTCTTTTTTTTTTTATTTTTATTTTTTATTTTAGCGCTTTAGCGTTTTTCCTTTGCACACAGAAATTCTTTACATACTTCGTGGTATTTTTGTGCCAAGCCCCCCCGCACACGCCCCTTTTGCGCAGCGACCAAGCCCACGCCTCCACAGAGCAGCACACTTGTGCGCCTTTTATGTGACGCTCAGTATTTTAGTATTTTCTGATTCAGAAAAGGACAAGCAACACACACACACACACACACACACACACTTACACGTACACGTACACAAAGCCAAACACACATGTTATGGCCGTTGTAAATGCTGTGTGTGCATGTATTTGCGCTTTCAATTCCGGTTTCATTTCAAGTTAGTTGGGCAGCCAAATAATTGAATTTACAGAGCCGCAGATGGACAAGAAAACCAGATGACATTATACACTTACATGTGCACATGTTTGTGTGTGTGTGTGTGTGTGTGATGACGTCACTTTCCGTTTGCCCTCTTGAGCCCGACATGCGTCAAAACAAGCAGCGACAGCAGCTTCCCATGTTAAGCCATGTGACTGCTCACTGTGGGCGTGGTTCACATGGTGTTTACGAGGAGGGTGGGCTATAGGGAGGGCGAGGGGGAGCAGAGTTATGAGATTGTGGTTGATAAAAAGGATTAGAGCCTCGATTCTGATGCTGTTTCCAGCTGCTGCCGCCGCTGCTCCCGCTGTGGCTTCAATTGAGCCAATTATGATGACTGAATCAAATGCAAATGTATGGGTAAATGGGTGCATGGGTGTGTGTGTGTGTGTGTGTTTGAAAGTGTGTTTGTAGTTGTGTAACTAATAGACAGCTGAAATGTATTACATACAAGCTTTCATGTCAATTTGCATTACTTTTTCAATTCAAACTACACTGCCTAAGGCGGAAGAAGAAGAAGCAGACACATGAAAGCCAAATGCTTGCCAAAAAATTGCCTTTTCTCAACAAAAAGGCAAACTACGTAAAAAGCTTGAACTCTGGTACAACTGGCAACAATCAGAAAGTATATATTATATGCATATTCCAGAAGATTTGGGTTAAAGCCTGTTAAACAAGGAAGAGCTGATATGTAAGAGCCACACTTTTGCTAGTTGCAGTATTTCAGTATTTTTATGATTCCAAATTAGCAAAACAAAAAGCAACGGCTGGTTAAGCGTTCAATTTGATCAAGCAGAACCCTGAAGAAGCACAGCATATTCCCTACATTAAGCAGTCCAGCATAAGTCGACTTAGTTGAACTTTTAAATATAAACAATGTTGTAGGTTAGTGACGTCACATCATCGATGGCGTAGACGGTCACTCTGGCCGCAGGTTCCATGGCTGTTAAAGATTATGTTAAGCATTGGTGTTAATAAGGATCAGTCTGTGACAAGCGATCAACAAATTAAGAACATTCAGACTAGTGAAAGAATACTTAGACATACATATACGTAATTTAATGAATTTAGCAAATCATCCTCCTCCAAATCTCACCAACTAGAGCTCGAGCAGGAGCTGGTTGCAGGGATCACGGAGGCAGGCGACTCCTATATAACTACACTTTGTTGAAATAAAGCTCACTAACAAGTGATTTGAAGAGTAAACTTCTAAAATGAATCTGAGAAAAGCTTTGTTTTCAATCGACCACTTTTATGTCAACTACATAAAAAAGTGTGCCCAGGTAACTCCGATATAGAAGACCTTGGGAAAGATGTATTAATAGTCTAGCTTGAAGCCAGAGAGACTTTAATGCTCTCCTTTATTTGCAAATTAGAAATGGAAAATAAACCAAAGGAAGCTAGGCGGAATGTCAGCTTCTGTTAAAGCTAACCTGAACCCATTAAAAATGGGTAAAAACGGTATATTGTATTTGTGCAAAATCCAAATGTATGTAACAGGCAGAAGGAAACATCTCCGACCCCATAAAGTATATATATTCTTGATCAGCATCAATAGCCGAGTCGATCTAGCCATGTCCGTCTGTCTGTCCGTATGTATTAACGCAAGGATCTCAGAACCTATAAGAGCTAGAGACTTGCATTGAATTTTAGATGTAGGTGCTCCGCTTCCAAGCAATCGATAAAAATCGATATCGATATCCTGTTTATTGGGCAATTTTGGTAAATAATAAGAGCTAGAGTCACCAAACTTGACATATAGCTTCTAAAATAGAATCTATATGTGCATTTCATGTTGGAAGAAGAGAGTTCAGGGTATCCCCTAGTCTGGAGTTCCCGACTAGAACGTCTTACGTGTTCTAATATCAAACTTTGAATTCTTTTTATAAGTCTCTTCTATATTCAAAGCTGTCTGCAATTGAGGCTAGCATTTAATAGATTTAAGCAAACTGCAAGCTTAAGTACATCTTTAAGAACTTATGCCTGACTTGCCTCAAATTTGAGGGGTATCTGTAAGCTATATAAGCCCGCTCTTAATCTTATATCAAGCTGAATTCAAATACCCAACACACAGTTTTATTGCACCCAGCTAGTTTTTAAGTTAAGTCAACCACAGCTCACGTGCTATGCCCGATTCGTGATTTAATTAACTAAATACTTATATGATTGCATATGATAATGGTAATGTATGTTAGCTGATAAATTCACACGACTGTTTGGCCGTAGCACACACGCACAGACGCCTGAACAAAAAAAAAAAAAAATTCAATTAAAATAAAACACCTGCAACCCACAGCTGCCCACTTAGTAAGATTTATTTCTTTCGTAGCTCCCTCCAGAGGTTGAACAAGCTCTAATCATTATCTCTCTCTCTCTCTCTCTCTCTCTTTCTTTCTCTATATATAAATGTATTTATTTTAGCTCCGCAAGCCAGCGTCGACACTTTCAATTCCTGGCTCGATGAAAACACCTTCCATTGCGAACCGGGAACAGATCTCATCTGGATGCAACGAAGAAGCGGCCGAGGCACTTGTGGGTATCCACTCAGACTACCCTAGGTATGAAATGTATGTATACCAATCGCCAAGCCGTCTTATGCCTATCCTACCCTATCCTACAATAAAAACAAAAAAACAACTAAGCGTGCTCTAGTCGGCAGCGTTCGACTAGCGGATACCCTGATATAGACACACACACAGCACGTTCTCCCTGGCCGCCATGCTCTATCTTGCCGTTTCCCAACAATATGTAAAATCCAGTGCCGAATAACTTCGATGCTTATTGTCCGATCCTCAAACAATTTTCAGAGCTCAAAAGATGTCAAGGCACGAGGCTCTATATATAAGCTTGCAGTTTTGCGTCTATCTTAGAAAGAATCAGCGAGGCAGTTTAAAGATGAAATTTTCTTATTATTCTGTATATGCTAAGCGAGAACCTAAGTATATACCAAGTGTGGTGTATCTAGCTATAATATTCTTCGGGTTAGCATTAAAAATCCAAGTTACAAAATCGATATTTCAAATTTCAAGTCTCCAGCTTCTATTGTTTCCGATACCGAGGCATTCATGAAGACTCTGCTCGTCGTCCTTAATGGGTATCGACGGTACTTCCGTCTGTATCTAGCATACATAAGCACAAAGCTAGCAAACCCTTTTGCCGCTTCGCAATGGGTATAAAAAGCGCATCTCGCTAAGCGTATTTAATCAATAAACAGCAGCTATCTATAGGAGTCGCTTGTCTGAGCCACATTCCATTACCAATTCATGTGCTGACACCAAAGCCACACACACACACACACAAACACACGCACACACTCTCTCACACACAGACACACAATTTAGATAATGCCTTGGCTCTAGCTAGGCCCAAAAAGCGTGGAAAAAAATTTGACTAATTGCCATGGGCCATAATTAGCTGTCAGCGCCAGAAGGGCAGATTATAAATGTCATTACATAAGTATATCTATCCTTGAAGGATACCAAAATACACACACACACACACGTGCACACGCACACACAGAGAGACAGCCAGAGCCACAAAACTAATCCCCAACAAATCTCAAAGTTAATATACATAAAGTTTTGCAACCTGCAAACTCGTCACAGGCGCTTAGTTTTTCCGTTTGGGATATGAAATCAAGTCCTATTGAGCTTTTGATGATCATTCAATTTGTTATTATGTATTAGGAAGTCAATATGGCTAAGGGAAATACGTATACGTATTGTGTGTGCAGTACAATGCATAAATAAATCTCCTTTAAATGCCTTCAAAGTACAACAATTTTGCAATATTACGTTCAATTTGGCAGAGTTCAGCATGCCGATACCCTGTAAATCGCACAAGGCATGCAGCTGGGCATATTTGCTTGTAAGCTGCAGAGTGCAGAGAGGCATATAAACTGTTTATTTATTATAAGCTACAGAACAGACTTCTGTGCGTGTGTGCTTCCAACTGATGAACTATGCAATACCCTGCATTTGGCTGTTTAAGAGCTATTGCTCTGATGTTTGGCACATGCGCATTTATGCATGTTCAATTTATATGTTGCGTTTCATGAAGATTGTTTCTTAATTAGAAAAGTTATGTCGAAATCCTATTTAACTTTAAACTAAAGTTCCTTGGGATTGGCTACGGAAACTGGCCTGGAATTTCTAAGATACTTTGCGAGCTATACCTATACCTTCTATTTTTGGCATAGCTATAACTATAAGGGTAACTCAATTTACAATTCATTCAATGAGAAACGAGTAACGAATAGCAACGCTTAGCCGAAAATACCTTAGCACTAAGCACAGGGTATATTCTCGACTAGACCACTCATCTAACTGTGCTACATTTTAGAAAATAGGGGGGGACGGGTTGAAATTCTGTCGCTGCTTTCAGTTCTTAGCCAAATTTGCCCGTACACGTGTGTGCTTTTGTATCTGTGTGTGTGTGTGTCTGTATCTGTGTGTGCTTCATATCTTTCGGATACACAAATTGATGTGACACAAATTTTCATGAGACAGCAGCCAACAGCAACAACAAAAAACAAAGAAGAAAACAAACCTGTCATCCATTAGTTAAAGATTCATTAAGCAAATGCCTTCAGATACATTTCGCCATAGATGGCATATCTGTCATGGTCTGTAGTTATCAAGTTGTTGGTTAGTTCTTAGCAGATATATGAAGAGTGAGGGTGTGTGTCTGGGCAGAGGAGAGTCATGGTTTATCAATTAACATTAAGCACACGACCCATTTTACTATTTGCAGGTATATGGAAGAACGTGCGCTTACTGGCGGCAATACGTCCAGGAAGCCATCAACCAACTCGGCCAAACACAAACCCAATGTGGGCTATCGCCTGGGCAAGAGAAAAGCTTTATTCGAGAAGCGTAAACGCATTAGCGACTATGCCCTTGTCATGGGCATGTTCGGGATCATCGTGATGGTGATTGAAAACGAACTGAGCAGTGCCGGCGTCTACACAAAGGTAAGTTATTAACGTGTGCCAATTACTAATGACGAGTGAAATTATATTAACGCAACGAATCATTACTCGTTGCTAACGATTATTGATGAGCGTCACATACTAATGAAGAACGACATCATATTAACAGCTGATGTTTAATGTGAAATGAGTTTAATACCAATTGAATTGAACGAACCACTCGTTACTAATGCATAAGCGAATAAAATATAACGAGTGACATGAATCATTGCTCGCTGCTAACGACTTTTGATGCGAGCTACTTACTAATGAGGAGGTACATAATATAAACGACTGATATTTAACCTAAAATGAGTTTAATACCGCTTGATTTGAAGTAACCACTCGTTACTAATTAATTGGCGAGTAAAATACAACGAGTGAAATGAATCATTACTCGCTTCTAACGATTATTGATGCGGGCTACTCACTAATGACGAGGTACATAATATTGACGATTGACATTTAACATGAAATGAGTTTAATAACGATTGAATTGAACTCGTTACTAATTAATCAGCTAGTAAAATATAACGAAAATTGCTCGTTGCTCAATATTATTGATGAGAGCTACTTACTAATGAAGAACGACATAATATCTACGACTGATATTAAACATGAAATGGTTTTGAATGAATGAATTAAAGTAACCACTCGTTACTAATTAATTCACACGATTAAACTTATACGAGTGAAACTATAGTACCGCTGCGAATTATTCAGGTTGCTTCTTGTCAATATGTAAATATAAGCACGACTGAAAGTTTACTTACAATTTTTTTTTAAAACTATTGAAGCTGATGTCACTACTCGTTACTCATATCTACTGACATTGAAACGCATTAGCATTTGTGACCCGTGAAATAACTATTTAATGTATTGTAGTGTTGCCTAAGATAATTGTATCGTTTTATTAGGGAAACCTATAAATAGCGATTGAATTTAGTACTCGCTACTTTTTAGTATGACGAGTAAAATATATTGCTTACACTTGTTATTAACTAGTGATTGGCGATTGACACGCAGTAACAAATTAGTAACATGTAAGGAAATGTTTACTTAAGACAAAAGTATCTTTTTAATGACAAGTTAATCTTTCACTCGTTACCAGGTGGTAACGAGAAGGGATAACATTTTTTTTTTTTGGCTGTATTGTAATACCAATTAGAACGACAAATCATGCCTTAATGTCGAACGAAATCGTCAACTGTCAAAAAGAGCTGATTGAGCTCAATATAATCGTACTCGTTAATAGCTAGAAATGACGAGTGCCAATTACCTATGAAATAATGTATTTAACACTCCGAGTCGCTGTTTATTAATTGATCATATTTTCTCGTTGCAGGCATCGTTTTACTCGACAGCGTTAAAAACCTTAATATCTGTTTCGACTGTGATTCTCTTAGGACTTATAGTAGCTTACCATGCTTTGGAAGTGCAGGTGAGAGTGAGTGCAAATTGTATCTTCTCTTGCAGATGTTATTGATGGTCGTCATCGTTATTGTTTAACGTTGCCATCGTTTTACCCGCTCACTGTTATGACCCCCGCTCCCGTAACCTCCGCCTCATCGTAAAGCATCCCAAAAAAAAAAAAAAAAAAAAAATACCAAACCTAAATCCCAAGAAAAAAGAAAGAAAATAAACCCCAGCCCATACCCCTCATTCAACCAGCTCCAGCGTAGAGACCCAACACCTCATTGCAGTTTGTTTGTTGTAAACTTTTGTGTGTTCTTTGTCTGTTCTAAAAAAAAAAACCACATGACTTGCCCGTAGCTACAGAGAGAATGCCTGAATTGAACAGAGTATTGCACTTTGCATTTAACGCCTTGCTGCGTCTATCGTAATTGTTATCGTTATCGTTATCGCTAGCATGCATGCGGCTAGCGAAACCGAACGAAACTGTATCCACAAAGTGCAAAACTTTGTTTACGTTTATTAAGTTAAATTCTTTGAATGTGTGTTCTTGCATTATTTACGAAAAACGCGAATTTCGAGTGCTTTCTATATAATTCCATTCCGTCATTCCGTGTGTCCCAACTAAAAGGGGGGTGAGGCGAGTAGAGGGAGAGAGAGAGAGAGAGATAGAGAGACAGAGCTTCAACTAAATATATTTATTTGAACTTGTGCTCTTCGCATTCCCATATTTACTCAGCTAAACAGCCACATCATCAGATCATGGAACTTCAAGCATATTGTAAATACAAACATAAGCCAGCTCATTCCCCGAATATCCTTCCGTCCTCCAGTAATTTCACCACCACCCCCCACCCGTCTATCGATGGTTAGGCTTTGATAGTGAGAGTTAACAGTCGCCATTTGTCTGGCGAATCAGGCCAAACCTCAAGTTGAATACATATTTATAATTGGGTTAACATTCAGTCACATATAATTATACCATTTATGCGCTTTTAATACCAGTTGCATGTACAGCACTATAATTTATTTGTTTAACTACAACAACAACTAAAGCCGAGCTAACTGCCGAACTAAAAAAAAAACAAAAAAAAAACCTACCCAAACCACATTCAATTCCCACCCTCCAATTGCCACAGCCACTGTGTTTATAATTTAGCAAAAAGAAATAAAAAGAAAAAAAGAAAGAAACACAAGTATTTAAGTTTTCGCATGAGTAATGGTAATATATTTAATTTCCAACAAGAAACAAAGCAAAACAATAAGAAACAAGAGCATGGAAGAGTTATTTATTTATTTGTTATTTCTTATTTATATTACAAATTCAATGTGCATATGTAAACATAATAACATAATAAACAATTTAACATAACATCACGGTACATTGCACACAATATACTCGTAAATCCTCCAATAATAATACAAATTCTAATCAAAGCAATAAAGTTCTTGACTACCAAAATCTATAACTTATCGAAGGCAAATCGAATGCAATCAATGCGATTGCTCTGCTTGAAAGCGTCTCTTTCAAGACTATCAAAACTCAAGCTGTGCTGTTTCATTCGAGGCACATACCATACGAGAAAGTCCTGTGAGTCCTGTGAATTTTTGATTAAAAGTTAGCAAAAACAAGAAGAACCACCGCTCAATCTATTTAAAAAAGAAAAGAAAGGAAAAGAGATTCTCAGAACTACATCATTTTCCTGCCATTTTTCGTTCATAATTCAGACATAACTTGAATGTTCAATCATCCAGATGCAGTCAATCAATCAATCAATCAGTCAGTCAGTCAGCTAATCAAAATCAGTTCTATATACAATAAATACAATATATATACATATATATTTATGTACATATACATATATATTTATATACATATATACATATAACTATATATATATATGTATATATATATATAAATATACATATATATCAGTTCAACATCTTCGTCGTCTTTCATATTCGTTATCTTCATACTTTGTTCTCGACTATATAAATCCGATTAAATGTTAATGCCCCTTAACCCCCCACCCCCAAACCCCCTTCATTTTTTTTAATGTTGATGTTTAAAGTAAAATTTTAATATGTAATTACCTTCCAATTATGCTTTGCAGAATTCAGTAAGTAATACTTATAATATACATCATAAATATTTGTGAGTAATTCCTACATGCATAGTGTTATGTACCCCATACATACTATATATGGTTAACAATACCAAACAACATTCAACATATAGAGTAGCTTGACAACAACAAATACAAATACAACAGCAACAACAACAACAACAACAACAAATACGCCACACAAACTGAACTTAACATCGATATATACAATTATATGTACCATGTACCCAATACTTGTATGTATATGTATATATATGTATAACAAAAAACATGAAAAAAAAACAAACGAGATAAAACTAAAGCGTTCTTGACTATACAAAATACATAACACAATGTCTATGTATTAATGCATGCTTATAGATCCCAAGCTGTTTCCAATATTTATGGTGACAACCATCCAAAACAATGTGTCTGTGTGTGTGTGCATGCATGTCCTGGAAAACTGTCGCTTATTATTTATAAATATATAAATAGATATATATATGTTTTTAATGAAACACTCGTTTCAAGACACGTCTTGATGCAGCGCAGCCAAGTTAACAGTGCCTGCGAGTTGCCACATCGTTCGTCTAATGATATTGCCAATTTGCCGTGAAAACGCTGCGCTTGAACGGATGTAATCGGAGCCTCGCAAACAATATAAATCGTTAAGTTCTTGGCATTAACGATGTATGTATTAATGTTTAAACATCAAATGAGCTTGATTTATAGTTTGGATCGTTGTTTAATTTTCAATAACACAACAATTTCGACTACAGCCCTAATGAAATACAAAAATCAAACAAGGTGGCAGCCTCGCCTCGCCAAAACGATAAATCACGCCCAACCCCAGCGGATGTTTATCAAGCTGACTCGTTCTGACAAATGGCAAACAACAACGAATGTTGAAAAAAGGGCATTGCTATCAAACGTCTCAAAATGATGCACGACTTTTAAATGTTATTGAAAGATTTACAATCCCAACAGATATAACATCGTTTTACGTTATCGATAATTGCTGCGATACATTTCGATAAATTGCGCCCTTTGAAATGAAATATATGTATTTTACCGATAAATGTAGAGAAAGCTTTAAAGTGCAATCTGAAAAAAACCCGTTAATGCTATTTACAATAGATCCGCTAATTTACAGTAAATCGATCAGTGCTATCGATTATAGTAGCGAGAGCTTTTCCATACCTCCATCTGAAATAAAATATATCTATATTTTCTATAGTTGTAGCGAAAGTCTTACAGTGTAAAATGTAAAATATTGATATGTATTACCGATAATAGCTGTGCTTACTTTCGTGTTCCAACGACTGAAATAAAATCGGGTAATGTAATCGATAACAGCAGCGATAGCTTTTCAGTGTCACCTTCATCAATAAGAGCTATGAATGATATCGATAAAAGCGCCCATCTCCAAAATAATCTGTCAGTATTATCGATAGTTTTGGCGATATATTTCTACCCACCATCTGAAATAAGATCCACTAATTTTATCGATAAATGTATCAATATGATCGATAGTAGCAGCGAAAGCTTTCCAGTGTCAGCATCCCATACAATGTTATCGACAATAGCAGTTCTGCCATCTGAAATGAAACCTATCGATATTAACGATAGATGCAGCTGCACCTTTCCAGTGTCACCAGCCTTAAAAAAAAAATCCAATAATGTTACCTATAACAGGAACCATAGTCCTTGAGTACCGCCGCAGCCATAGCTTTCCAGTGCCAACAACGCTTAAAAAGAGCTATCAATATTATCGATAATACCAACAAACAGTCCGACCATCTCAATTAAAATTCACACATTTTATCGATAACAGCTGCCATAGCTTTCCAGTGCCAACAATTGCACACACACACGCACACACACACACACACAATCAAAATGGCGGCTCACGAGCTCGCGGCTGTAAAGGAAACAATGGCAATTGGCTGCTAGCCAAAAGCAGCTGATCAAGCAGCACCGCCAATGAAAGAGAACAAACAACAGCAACAATAACAACAGACAAGAACGTGGCTTAGCTTGCACCAGAAGCAAACAACCAATCACCGATTCACCAATTGCATTTCGGGGAGCCCTATGTGTAGTGCTAGTCCATGTTCGGCAACAACAACAACTGCCTATTTGCTTAGAGCAACTGCATATGCATATATACATATATATGTGTGTCAAATGGAAGACATTACACAACACACACACACACACACACACACACACAGAGATAGAGAGAGAGAGAGAGATAGAGACGCACACATATACACACAGTAACACATATGAGCATTCCCATTGATAAGTCGATTCGGATTAAGCATATCAATCATTAAATCACCAAGATTCGAACGGTGCTTCGATTTGCCAGATAAACACGAAAATAATTCACAGGACTTTGTCAGAATAGTTGAAACAATTTAACAAGAAAGAAACAAGAAAATCTGCATTTAAAATCGATATATACATTATACAACTTCTATATATATATATATATATATATATATATATATATATATATATATATATATGTATATATATATATATTTATATATATATATATGCATATATACTATATATATACTAGACTGAACGAATCAATTGTTTATCGATTAATCGGCTTAACTTGCGAATGACTCATATACCCATTATACTCTACTCTACTCTAACAATACTCGTAGCTATCGTAATCGTATCGTGTCTACTCAGTTCTGTACAACAGCAACAACATCAACAATACACGGCTTGTGTCAGCTAATACTATTTAAATAGCAACAAAGTGTTTGCCCCGGCCCTGCCCGACCCCCCTACCCACCAAATTAAAAGCTTCCCTCCGCCCCCTCCGCCGACCCTCTAACCGCCACGCACGATATTCGCAACATTCGCAAATGTGATTCGTATACAATGTGAAGTAGTGTAGTGAATAGTATGCGTATATCTAACCATTTAGTATGTCGCTTTAAATGTTAGTTTTGTTCACGATTGTTGATCATGAGTATGCCAAACATGCTAATTCCAAAGATAATTGATGCACTTAATAAATAAAACAATAAACTCGTTTTGAATCATTTGATTCAAGCCCGTTTATCATTAATACGCTCAAATTAAAACTGTTTACTGGACTTTGGCAAGTCGCCGTCAGATGCCAAATTTTACGAAATTTAGAAACTCTCATTTTCTGAGATTTTACATTTTAGAGCAACAAAAATAAACGAAGAAAATTTTCTAAATTTGCGAAAATTTTGAATTTCCTGGCGATTTTCTAGAGTTGAGTGGCAAAAATTAGTTTGAGTGTGTGCTTATCAATATATTGCATTTATCTATATATACTTTTCAAAACTATATGCCCTTAATATGGTTTAAATCACTAACAATTTGTTCCCAGGATTATAAAAAACACATCAAATAAATCTAGAGTAGAAAACATCATCAAAATCGATTCAGTTTAGGGAACTTGAAGGCCAAGCAATAGTATTTGGTTCAATGCAAAAATATTACAAGTTCAATATTTACCATAAAAAAACGAGTTGCAGCTTTGACGATCTATAAGGGTTTTGGACTTGTAAAGTCAACGAGGTGTGTGGAAACTTTGGATATAGCAATTAATTCTATGTGTCCCTAGCTTAATAAGTTTGTATGTCTTAGAAAACTTCAAACGGAATTTCATTTAACTGAAACTGAACCTTACGCAATTGCCCCGTAATGTTAGAACTCCGGATTGCTAAGTATTTGACTTTTTGTCAAATTTGGCCACACTTTGCAGCTAGCTGGGCAGCACTTTGACTTTGCCTTAACCTCACTTTTGCTGCTAAGCAAGCGGCACTCGCGCCTTTAAAATGAAATGAAATTAGTCATCGTTATTAAAATCAAGTGCTCTTGAATATTATTTGCATATTGACAGCAGAGCACTTGACCTAATCGATTAGTGCAATTGTCGCCCTCTTAAAGAGCATATAAAATATAATGAATTCCCCCGCCCCCGAACGCCACTCGCACCAAAACCAATTTGCCTCAGCTTAAAAGCTTAAGTGCAGCTGCACTCGATTTATCAAGAGACTCTCTCATCAGTGGCGAATTATGAGCCAAAGTAAACGAATTGGCTTAATTCCAAATTGATTAAAGCCAATTAAAAAGGTAAACAACAAATGCCAAATAAAGAAAAAAGAAAAAACCAAAAAAAAAATACAGAGAATATGTGCTAACAACACGAGAACACGCACGCCGCCTACCTAATCAGTAAGTACTTTGCACACACTCACACACACGCGCGTACACACACATCACACATACACACGCACACAGGTGCACTAACGCATTCAGCACATACTAGTAAATTGAATGCTTGTGTTAGCTAAGCACAAGTAGGCATCACCATCACGACCGATAAACCGATAAAACCGATAACCTCGCCATCGGTGCAGTCAACAATCGAAACGCAAAACGAAGTCACGAACGCAGCAGGCATTGGCATAAGAGGATAAAAAGGAGAAGATTGAAGAAGCAGCAGCAGCGGGAGCAGCTAAAACGCTGCTACTAGCAGGTTTTGAAATCGCTATCGTTATCGTTATCGCTATCGATACAAATGTTAGACCACAAACAAATCCAGGTTTCGCTTACACCTTTCCATTGCTATGCGCTTTAACAACAGAAAAAAAAAACAAGAAACAGCACACACATACAGCAACGCCTGCACAACACACACACACACACACACACACACACACACACACACACACACACTAATACACACACCAATACACACACTAATACCCACACGCCAACACACACACACTTAGCCATAGACATACGCATATGTACACCTCATTGACGTTGTACTTGTCGAATAATTCATGCTCGTATTTGGGTGTATTTTCATTTTGTTTAGTCGCAAATAACAAATCAATAAAATTCCAATTATATTTAATAATTAATTTTTTCTTCTTTCTCTATTTCTCTATTATTTTTTCTGTGCTCCTTCATGTCTATCCAACGAAAAACCGGAAACTTATCAACAAACTTATCCAAAAAAAAAAAAAAACATTCAAAATTAATAAAAATAAAAAAAATACAACAAATAATAATAACAACAAAAAAAAAAAACATCTCAACGCCATGTCTGCGTCTCCAAAATCCATAAATTAATTGAATATATCAACAAATAGTTATTCATGATAGATAACTGCGCCGACGATTGGAGGATCGCAATGACATGGCAACGAATTAGTCAAATAGGGTTAGAACTTTTTATATGCGCTATACATCCAATTCCTGGTGAATACTATTTCCAGTGGACGACGAAATTGGCCAATAAAAATAAAACAATTGGCACTGAAATGGTGCCATACGACGTAGCTTTATCATTACCTATGTTCCTTCGATTATATTTAATCTGCCGCGTTATGCTACTTCATTCAAAGCTATTCACAGACGCATCATCACGGAGCATCGGCGCTCTCAATAGGATTAATTTTAACACAAGGTAATCCCCAATAATCATTTCATTGATTTTACTACTTACAACAGCAGCGATGACATATTAAGAAAATAGCTGCGCCCTGCATAGCATATGGAACAGTTCGCAACGAGCCTGAACTTACTTATTCATCTTTTACATGTTACCTGTTTTGCTTCTTCGCTCGCTTCCCTCTTGTGTCGCTCTCAGTACTGTAAGTTGTCTGATTGGCGCGTGAAGCAATTGCTTAGCTCTTTAGGGCAACAATTAATTTTACAAACTGCTCGCTGACTTACACAGGCTTTTGGCTATTACTTCTCACATTGCTTCTTACTTTTATATTTTAGTTATTTTCCCAGTCAAAGGTAATACTCTAAGCTGCCAGCAAATACCTAAGTTAACTAATTAAGGCAGCGCTTAATTATGCTAGCTGCCTTTTAAATTTGACATGCCTTTAGCTTTGCTTCTCACAATGCTTCTCGCTCTCTATTTTTGCTAGTTTCCTATTTAAAGCAGTAATTACCTCTCAAGCTGCTAGCTAACTTTGCCAAGCCGTTGGCTTTTGTTTCTCGCATTGCTTCTCTTTTTCATATTTCAATTAATTTCAATTAAAATAAATAATGAATTCATTTTTAGTGTGATAAGTAATGCTTAAGCCTTCAGTGTCAGCGAGACAGGCATGCCAAGCAACTGGAGATGCTTGGTAATGAGCTCGGACAAATGGCCAATGCACAAGCTTTGATGCGCTTCTTGCTTTGCATCAAGTTGTCAAGCTCGTTTGGGAGAAGCGAGCGGATAAAGCGATTATAGTAGCCGCACGAAACAAAGCGAGAAGCTTAAGTGTTGGACAATGAGCAAAGCAATAAGCTATTTGCTTGCTTTTATTTTTAAATTTTCGACTTTTTGCTTCTCACTTAGCTTCCCCCTTTAAGTGCTTTGAAAGACAAGGCAAGCCTTAATCAATCAATGCGAATTGCTCTTCTCACTTTTCACTTCTCTTCTGGCTGTGTTGCTCCTTGCTTTGACAGCCTGACAGCTATTTACGTCTCTTCAGCGCGTTAGCTTTTCTCATGTTTTTATCTATGTTCTAACTTCTAAACAATACTAATCACGCTTTATTTCCCAAACAGATTTGTTTTGAAAACACTAATGACAATATGCCCGGGAACGGTTCTATTGGTCTTTATGGTCTCGCTGTGGATCATCGCATCCTGGACGCTGCGGCAATGCGAAAGGTAATGCAATTAACTTATAATAAAAACTACAAATAACAAAATTAAAACTTATGATAGTAATTTATGTAGTTATTTATAATGTTGTTTCTTCAAATGATTTTTATGTTTCCGTTGTTCGAATCTTGAGTTAACTTAACTTTTCTTCAGAATACGTTTATGTTTATTATTTCCATTAATTGTTCAGTTCAGTTTCGTTTATGCTCTGGAAACCCAATTTAATGTATGCCACTAATACTTTGACATTACTATATATAACTATATACACATATATATATATATATTTATTTACAAAAATATAAATATATATATATATATATATGTACGCCTACCTATTAATACATATTCATGTACATAAATGTATGTGCTAAATATTACGTTATGTCTCAAAGTGTACGCTCAACTTTCCAACCTACACGTACTTTCGTAGCAAAACGCAACATGAAAAGCTAAAACCAGTTCCGAAACGTAATAGATTTTTAAAAGAGTTTTTCACCCGCTTCAGTGTTGGGCAAGTAACCAAATAACTGTAACTCTTAAATATTTGTAACTGCATCTTTGAGAGTAAATGGATTTCCATAAGTTTTTTTCAACTTGCATTCAAGGGGTTAAGCACAGCACAGCACACAAGCACACACACTCACACACACACACACACACACACACACCCACACACACACATGCACCATTCAGGCACTCAACCACCAAAACCACTCAACCATTTACTTAACCAATACGTGTATTGTATCTTCCGTTAACTCTGGCATGTGTGCATGGCCATGTGTGTGTGTGTGTGTGTGTGTGCTCCAAAGCAATTGTATGCCATTCACAAAAACACTCACACGCACACACACGCACACATGTGAGCTTGCGGTTGAGTGTCCGTGTCACGTGCTCAAAAGAGAAACAAAAAACAGGAATAATTCCTGCATGCGTTTCAATTTTATTTACATTTTTACATTATTCCAGTTCAAACGAAATGTCGCTTGGTTTTCTCCCAACTCTCAGATCAATCTGTTCTACTGCTTCTTCTTCTTCTTCTTCTTCTTCTTATGCCTTCATGTTTTGATTTTGAATGATATTTCGTACATTTTATCCGGTTTGCTGCTGATTGCATTTCGTGAATGTGCGTATGTGTGCGTGTGTGTGTGTGTAACATACCATAAACTACATTAGTTTTGCACCAGATTTGCTAAAGTTGGGGCAATATACAAAAGCGAGCTGTTCCCTTCATAAAGAGTAGCTCTGTAGTCAGTCTGCTTAAGCTTTGATCTAACGAAACACGTTTTTGAAACCTACAAGAAACTAAAGTATTCTTATGAAAAAGAACTTAAACAATTTGTAGATCATTTACATATGTAGTTATTGATTAATATTATATTATTAATCTCGTTTTTTTTTCTTGTGTTGTTGTGTTTTTTCTTGACTGCTTTTCGTAGTGTTTCCTTTAAAGTAGAGTTTTTTCCTAGAGTTATTGCTAGTCTTTGTAATATACTATGTATGCTTAGCTTAACGTCTAAACCATACACAAGTTTCTGCCTCTCTCTCTCCTCTCTCTCTCGCTCGCTCACTTTATCTGTCACTCTCTCTCTCTCTCTCTATCTGTCCTTTCTCTGGCTCTACTTTTATCTAATATTTAACTCTGCTGACTCTCTGCTGACTACTTTCAACTCAATTTATCGACAACACTATCCTATCTTTCGATAGCTCTAGCGCACCCCCAACCCGTCTTTGGCAAGCATTTAACAGTTTCTTCTATGCACTTTCAGTGTGCCCTCATTAAAAAAAAATAAAATAAAATAAAATTAAAGAAAAAAAAAAAAATAAAAATCAAACAATATTTTTAGTTAACAATTAGTTGAACTTTTCATTTAGTTTCCTTGTATTTAAGTCTGTGTGTGCTGTTTTTTATTGGGAGTGTCTGTTGTGCGCGTTTCAAATGTGTGTGTGTGTGTGTGTGTGTGTGTGTGTGTGTATTCTGTTGTATTTAGTGCAGCTGTAAGCCTTGTTTCCGAGAAAGTATCACACTTAACTCGTACATTGTATTTATTAAGTTTACAAAATGGATTGAACTACCGCCTGCATTGCTCTAGAAATCGTGTATCGTATGCGTAATAACTACTATGTTTACAAAAAAAAAATATCTAAAAAAAAAAAAACAAAAAAAAAAACAAAAATAATAGGCCTAATCTAAAAAGAGACCACCAAACAAATTTAATTCAATTGAAAAATCTGAATGAAAAAAAAATCTATTTATGATAATCTGAGTAACGGAATGTGACTCAAATATTGCGACACACACATTTTATACATTACAAAATGGACTCTTTCCAGATAAAAGCGAGACACGTGCTACAGTTGTTGTTGCTGTTGTTGTTGTTGTTGTTGCTGTTGCTGTCGCTTGGTTGCGTATTAGTATGTGTGTGTGTGTGTGTGTGTGTGTGTGTGCAGAAATATAAATCATAAATAAGCCGCAACATCCACAGCCACAGCCCCACAGTTAGAGCTACCGTTAACCGTTATTTTTGCTGCGTGCTTTGATTTTGTTGTTGTTCTTCTTCTTCTACTTCTACTTCGGACTTGCTTTATTTTTTCTTGTGTCGTTTACATTTTTGTTTATCTGTTTTCGGTTGTTTGTTTGTTTTATTTTTTTCTATCGCTCTCCCTCTCTCTCTCTCTCTCTCTCTCTCTCTCTCTCTCTCTCTCTCTCTCTCTCTCTCTCTCTCTCTCTCTCTCTCTCTTATGTTGTTATTCTGTTCTATTTTTTGGCTTGCGACCTTTGGCTAAGCCCTCGTGACGCGCCAACCCCCACCCCCTCCCCGTGCCTAGTTCAACGCCTTTCCCCGTGCTCATCAGCCTTCTAATGAAATACCCATCGCTAATGCGTGTCCTCCAGTGACGTCCTTTCAATACTTTCACACAACTGTGTATCGTTAACAGTTTCTCTTTTTGTTTTTGTCTTTGTTTTTGTTTTTGTTTTTGTTTTTCATTTCGTTTTCTTGTCTTTTCTTTTCCCTTGCTTTTTGTGAAACGTCAGCGATGATTATCATCTTGCTATCGTATGCGCTGATACAACACATCAATAGACGTGTGCGCATATTTTTTTTTTATGTATTTGGGTTCCTTACAAAAAAAAAAAGAATAAGAACTATGCGATTCTATTATGGGAAAACAACAACAACTCATTTCGTATACAATTTGTGCTATTGGTGTAATTCTCTACAGCTTTTCTAAATAAATATGTATGTGTATGTATATGTATATTCAACTATACACATATCGATTGATATATTAATGTCCATTTATAATACCATGGATCTAAGAAAATAAAATACTATAAAAAAAAAAAGCTAAGCAACACAAACTCAACGTTTGCATTTTCCTTCTATTTTGTGTCATTAGATTAAAGATTGCCCATTTATTATTATAATATCTAAATGTTGTTATATTCTTTGGTCTTTTTACTGTAGAAGTTTTTTCTAAATTCTTTTCTATACATAATAGTTTCTTATGTAATCTGCTTAGTTCTTAGCTGAAATTAATCAATACTAGTGCTAGGGATTATAGGGATAGCGGAACTTTTTCAGTTCGAATATGAAAAACTAGAAAGTAATTGCAATTCTTTAGATAGAATCTATTGACGAACTCACAGTTTATGAAAGTAGGAGTGTAATTCTAGAGCCTGTTAGAAAGTAACAGGAAGTTGATCTGGTAGACCTGGTAGATCCTTCGGATTTGACAATACGAAGTCCAATATTTATAGTCATATAATAGTCAAGCTGATGTAAAAAGAAGCAAACTAATGTTTCATGATAGATAGACAAAATAAAATTAAAACGATAAAAACTTAATGCAAATCGATAAAAATATCGATATTAAGATATTAGATATATATCGAGAGACGATACTCGTATAGCCGTGCTATTGACAGCGGAATTCGAACTTTGCACAGTTTTTATAAATTTAAAAATTATATTCTTGAAGCAGTTGCAATTATAAAGTCTTTTATCTCTTTTTATTTTATATACCTATGTATATCTCATTCATTTGGTTGAAATTAGTATTTTGTGTTTTACTAAATAAAAATACATAATCTTTGTATGTATGTGTTTCATATACCAAAAAAGCATCTTATCTATGTCTGTATGTGTATGTGTATTTATCAAAATTGAAATCAAAATTTCTAATGTGTGTCTGGCATTTACGTAAAATATACATATATATGTATGTATGTATTTTGAAAGCAAGCATAGCTTTCGCTCTGGGAACCTAAATAGCATGCTCTTTGCTCGAACTACGAACTACACATTCACAGAGACAACGATAACGATAACGATTACGATACCGATTACGATAACGACAACGAAACCAATTATACACAACAAGCAAAAGACACTTATACATGAACGTAACGCGACCAAATCTATCATGAGGTGTTGGAGGAGGCGTAGGAGAAAGAAGAAGCAGCAGCAGTAGCAGCAGCAGAGAATGAAGAAAAAAACCACAACAAACTAAATGAACTGCGGCTCGGGGCAAAGTGGCGCTCAGTTCGTTTCCTTTTGTTTGTTGAGAGCCATCAAAGAGACATTTTGACATTTGCTTGCCACATCCCACGCACACACACAAACACACACAAACACATACACACACACACTCACACTCATACACACACAGACCAGTCATGTAACGTGTGTGTGTGCTCCTTTTCTGTTGCTGTTTTGCGTTTACCAACACTGCGCACACGTACTTAGCACCAAAGATACAAGCGAGTGCACAACATATAGTTAGTTATCATTTTATTTGCCCATCAGCTGCTCAGCTTCATTAGCTTACGAACATTGCCCTACCTCGTGTCGCCCAACGTCACCCATCACGCTTACTAAGCGGTATGCTGCAGTCCTTACCCCCACCCGCCCCTGGTAAGGCAGCAGCACTCGAGCGCCCCTTGATGTGACACGACCGGCAGCATTTAACAGTTGTGTAGCTCAGGTGCGGGTTGCGCCATTTTGCTTTTAACTTTGAGGTTAGGTTAACTCTGATGTGGCATTTTGTGTGTGCTTGTGTGTTTGTGTTTGGCCATGTTTGGTCGTGTGTGTCTGTGTGTGTCTAACGGGTCACTCTTCAGGTAATGGCAGCATGTCCTCGTCTTAATCCAGTCAGTCATTTAGTTAGTACGTTTTTTTTTCTGTAATTAAGTCAATTTGCCAGTCACTTTGACAGTCACTTTGCCAGTTGGTTTTAAAAGGGTTTAGGCCGAACGAACAAAATGAACACTTCCATACCATAATGCATTTGTCAGCTTGTGCAGAGCTTTAACCTTATAACTATACCTACTTACTTACTTACCCTACTAAATACTGTAAATCGTGTCATTGTATATTTTATAACTATATATTTATATATATATACGTATATATTCGTACCCGATTATCCTATTCTATTCAGGACTTGTTTCCTTTCTACTATATATTTTTTTTTTTTTTTTGGTTGTAATTTTTTCTATTTGTGTTTTCTCATATTTGTTCTTCATTCGTGATTTAATTTGATAATTATGTAATATACTATAGTTTATGATTCTTTGTTGGATTTGTGTAATACTTACTTATTATGTGTGTATTTTTCAACAAACAAATTGTTCTAAAAACCAAAAAACCAAAAAAAAACAAAAAAAAAATTATTATTGTTTTGAAAAAATCGAAAGAAACAATTCTATAAACAAATATTTGTGCCATTTGTTATTTGTTTTTCTTTTCGATAATGACAACTACCAAGAAAAATAAAATGTTCACATAATTTCACATCTGTTTATTTGTTTACTCCACTTCTCACCCTACTTCTGTATCCACAAATTGCAAAATGAAATTTAATCTGAAAAAAAAAAACAAACAAACAAAAAAAATTATTCTTTATCAACTTGAATGAACGCATATGCATCCGAATACCGAATACTGAATATACCGATACCGATTTCAAAAAAAATAAATATAAAAAATACCGATTTCTGAATACCGATATATATATATGATATATGATATACTCGCAATGCCAAAAACCATACAATTAAAAATCGAACTAAAAAAATACAAAAAAAAAAACTCAACAACAACAACAAAATATAAATTATCAAACGCATATTATCGATATGTATGTCTCTCAATATATATATATATATGTGTGAATATATATCCATATATATGCATGAATGTATGTATGCTACAAACTGAACTGCACCCCGATACCGATAACGATACATAATCGATAACTGAATCGAATTTGAAAACGTTTAAAATCGAAAAAACAAAAAACAAACAAACAAAAACTATGAAAACTTGAAATGTTGAAACCAAAGGTTCCACGATGAGGAGCACGCGAATTTGCTAAACACCATGTGGCTAACGGCCATCACATTTCTGTGTGTCGGTTATGGCGACATTGTGCCGAACACATACTGTGGACGCGGTATAACGCTCACCTGCGGCATGGTGGTAAGTATACAACTAGAAAAACAAGAAAAACAAAAAACAAAAAGAAAATCAATTTAACTATATGAAATCAAAATAAAAAAGAAACAAACCAAAAAAATAAATATATAACAAAATCAAAATACCAGAACCAATAAACAGAACAGTAACAGTAACAGTTAACAGTACAAATAACAGCAACAGTTTACAGTACAAATAACAGCAACAGTTAACAGTAAGAGTTAACAGCGACCGTTAACAGCGACAGTAGCCGAACAGACAATGTTGCCAATGTAAATGTTAACATATGTAATGATTGTGTCATAACATAAACAAGTAAGACAGCTACAACAACAACAACAACAACATATACAAGTACGTTACGTATACGTTACGTTACACATGCATACAATATTTCATACCAAAAAAAATAAGAAAAAATAAACAAATATTCGAGTCGACAGAAAATAACTATTCAAAACACAGCAATGCTTATATAAGGCAACACCCACACACACGCATAAGTACTTGTCACTGTGTGTGTGTGTGTGTTGGCCATATGCCAAAAACAGGAATCGGCGCGCGTTTTTAGCTGATTAGGTTAGGATTTTTGTTGTTGATTTTTTGCAGGGCATTGTGCGCGTTTAGTTCATTCCATATATCTTACTAAATACGTATATTTAAATACACATATATATACATATATATATATACATATATATACATATATATATATATATATATATATATATATATATATATGCATGTATGATAACAGGCAAGATTCTGTTGTAAATCATCAGGCAGCCACAACCCACCAGCAACAACACCAACAACAATGACACCAACAACACCCGCAGAAAACCACCAACAGCAACAATTCATGCATAAATCGTATTTTGTGTGTTTTGCTGTAATACAAAACATATTCATGCATTTCTTCTGTATTATCGTGCATACATCTATGTATATGTATACACGCGCAAAGCACACACACACACACACACACAAGCACAATCACACACACATGCACACACACATGCGCATAAACATTCATATGTATATAAGCATATATATATATTCATCACTATTTCGTTAAACAGCTACTTCTCTGATTATATGTGTGTGTGTGTGTGTGTGCTTGTGTGTGTGTGTGTGTGTGTGTGTGTGTGTGTGCGTGAGCATTCGCTAACCGAGCCAGACTTTTGTTTTGTAACAATTGTGAGTTTCCGTTACCACAGAACAGGCAACAAATCCTTGTTGACAGCTCATTTATGTGTATGTATATAAAGCCTGCGCGTATGTGTTTGTGTATGTGTATGTGTATGTGTGTGCGTGTGTGGTGTGTGTGTATGTGCTATTTGTGTGTATGTATGCGTGTGCAGAACTATGTCCAATTTAAATAGTCACCTTCAAGTTTGTTTTGCACCAGTAAAAACTCTCTCTTAACCAAAATAAAATTTAACAAAAAAAAAAAAAAGAAAAAACAAAAAAGAAATAAACTAAGAACTAACAAACTCTTAACTTCAACGACGCATTTCTCTCGGTTTACGTTGCTGTCCTTTCTCCAGAAAGAAAGCCTCTCTACTTGCATATTCTTACCTTACCTTACCTTACTTGAATAACCACCTGTTTGTGTGTGTTCACGGTTCCTAAACAAATGATTCAACAAATTAAGCAGAAATCCTTCTTTGTCTCTCGATCTTTCAAGTTGCATTTTTTTTCAAACATTTGCTATATTTTATGCCTGTCATCAGTTCAACTTCAACTAACTATCAGTTTTGCAATATTATTTCTTTATTTATGTTTTCTTTTCTTTCTATTGTTTGTTAAATTCCTTCTTTTTATTTTGTGTTTTTTATAAACTTGTTGTGTTCAATAGTTGAGCTTAACTATTGTGTTTATGTTCTCTGGTTTCTTGTTTGTTATATGCAATAAAAAATAAAAAAAAGAATTATTAGTATAGTAATATTCATTTATATATTTTTTAAAACATAAATATATTGTTAAATACATATATTTTTTATACTTTTAATATGTGTTCGTTTTTGTGTATATTAAGCCAAAACAATACGATATTTTTCTCTATCTCTCTTTCCCTTTCATTTAATACTGAATAATACGCTCTGCGTGCTCGTGTACTCGTAATAAATACGTGTGTATTTTTTGCCCCTGAACAATACAAAAACGCGATTCTGAATGCGTTTGCAATTTGCAAAATCATAAATATTTCAAACAAACAAAAAATATACCGACAAACACCAAAAATATACCGAATATAAATAAATTATCGAACAAATTGAAATCGATAAATTCACATAATGGATACATGCAACAGATTTCATGATGAAGAGCATGCGAATCTTTTAAATGCAATGTGGCTGATAGCGATAACATTTTTGAGTGTTGGTTTCGGTGATATTGTTCCGAATACGTACTGTGGACGTGGTATCGCTGTCAGTACAGGAATAATGGTGAGTTTTTAACTACAAATCAAAAAAAAAAAAAAAATACAAAATATCCAAATAAACAAAATAAAAAACAAAAAAAACCCTCAGGAAACATTTTAGAAAAGAACTAGTATCAAGTAGAAAGAAAAATAAGGAAACAAAATGTCCAACAGCACACACATACATATCAATTCAAAATCAATTCAATTAACTGTTTCTAACCGAACATATTTACTTTCATTTCAACTCGATACAGGCTTGATATTCACATGTAAATAATTACATTTATCGCATTATCAAAAAAATGAACCCAACAATTAATCAATGCTCAATACACCAAAGCTCCTCGCAATATAATATCCCGCCCTCTAGTTTAGTATACAACCTATTTAAGTACTTACATCATGTACTTTGTCATATACAACCACATGCATAACAAATACATAGTACATCAGTACATCGGTACATCAGTACATCATACGAATTGGGCTCTACAAAACGGAGCGAGTTCATCAAGTGTTTCAGTCCGTACACACTTTATTTTCAACTCATTTGTCACGTGCGACAATGGCGCGCCTGGAAGTAGGCAGCACTCGAATAATATGCATGTCGATTGTTGGACATTAATCGGATATCGATATGTTATCGACACGGGGCTGATTCGCTGATCTTTAAGCACACCCACACACACGCCTCTTCTGCTAACGCTTTAGCTCTCTACCACTCTCGTTCTCTCTTTTACACTGTCTCTCTCTCTCTCTCTCTCTCTCTCTCTCTCTCTCTCTCTCTCTCTCTCTCTCTCTCTCTCTCTGTGTCTTTCCCTCACTCTAGCTCACACATTACCTATGCTCGATTAAATTTCTTGCCTCTTCTTTACTTCCTTCCCTCTTACTCAATGGAACTTTAACTCTTTCATATATATTTAAGTCTCTCTGACTACCTTTTTACATGCATATTGAACATGTCGTAGTCCTTGAATTGAAATTGTCATACAAAAAATATAACAATAACTCAACTAAATACCAAAATACTTAATAATACTAAAAACTAACCTCTGAATTGTGTTTATCATTTTCCAACTTTGTTCTCTAGACTTATCGTTACTTATGTGTGTACTAAACAAATTCCCAGCTCTAACTGTTGTAATACCTAGACAATTCGTACAACTTGAGATCGTAATCTGATTCTGATTCTGATTCTGATTTACATAATTTCCTATTACCCAACAAACTCTTCTTGCCACGTAATGATACTAATCATGATAATATTAATAACAATAGTAACAATAATAACAATAGTAACAATAATAACAATAACAATAACTGCTTATTGGCATTACAAAATAAACATATTTCCGACTAATGTGCGATAGCATTTGGAGTAAGCCTTTCATTCGTTGCACTCACTCAGTCATTCATACAACCGACTACTCATTGATTCACATCTCGCTCATAAAAATTAAAAAAAAAAATGAAACGAACAACAAATTTTAGGCGAGGTGACAGGACTATAAAATATTACTAAAGAATACCTAAAAAAACAAAAAAAAAAAAAAACAAGAAAAATAGATATAAAAAAACATAAAATTGAAAGCAACAAGTTCTGGACTTTAAACAATCATTTGAATGTATAATCCACAACAATTAACTGGCATTATAATAAATTCCAAAGAAAAAAAGAAAAGAAATAATAAGAAGACGCTATTAAATGATTGATCAAGCATAATTGATTGCACAAGCGTGCCACAAATTCAACTGAGTCCACTCTGTATGCATTTGTGTTAGCCGCCGTGCATTCAATCTCTCTCGTCTCTCAGCTGCTATCTTATTGCTAATGTCGCATCTATTCTCGTTTACAGGGTGCTGGCTGTACAGCGCTACTCGTGGCTGTGGTATCCCGCAAGCTGGAGCTGACCCGTGCCGAGAAGCATGTGCACAACTTCATGATGGACACGCAGTTAACAAAAAGGGTATAGATTGTCTCCATAGCAGCACACAAAATAGCCAGCAAACTCTATAGAGTACAGTTACACTCATACACCTAACCCCAAATTACGAAACACACACCTGACCTCAAATGACGTACTCAAGACGTAACAAGCCCCGAGCCCAAATTCGAACGTAACCCGACAAAAACGCTTCAGTACTTAAATTTTCAGCCCAGCAGGCACTCAAGCTCAAGCTCTTACGATTACTGGAATACGTATTACCGACATATTTAAGCAACCAATTTATTGGCTTCTTATTTTCTTGCAATTTGCTGACCGACACGCGTTTCAATTGTACGTCTTCTATATTGTAAAGTTCGATTTGGTATTGATACTCGTCTCATTTAGCGTATGCTCGTTTAATAATAAGTACTCGTAGAATACCATTGTGTTACTGTCCCACAACAAATGCCACAACAACTCTAATAACTTTGTATTCATTTCTTCTCATAAAAATTTAGCTGAAAAATGCTGCGGCGAATGTTCTTCGTGAAACTTGGCTCATTTACAAACATACAAGACTAGTAAAACGGGTTAATCCCGGCCGTGTAAGAACCCACCAAAGAAAGTTCCTTCTAGCTATATATGCGTGAGTATTTTTAGAGATCTATCAACATCAACTAACTGTCAGAACCACCAAAAAGTTACGAAAATCCCCCAAGAAAATACCAAACAAAAAAAAAACAAAACAAATAAGTATATATATGTACATAAATATACATATATATACTATATAAACAAAATTAACTGAAACTAAATCTGAGATTTGATAAAAGAATAGAAAAAGAGATCAAACAATAACATATATCGTATATATTTATATAGTTATACAGCTTTACAGTTAATAGATCTGTTGTACAATACAACCATATAGCCTGAACGAATCCCCAAGTAAAGCTTTCAAAGTGAACAACTCAGAACGTGTGAGGCCAACTGAAAAAACCATTCATAAAATCACATTTAAAAAACTTTTGTTTTACGTTCTTGTCTTTTGTCCTGTCCACACATGTGCGTCTATTCATAAAAAAAATATATATATATAAAACCAATATTAAAAACGATAAAACGTGCCCAAAGCTACTTCAATGTGAACGTCCGTGTGCGTGTGTGTGTGTGTGTGTGTATGTGTACGCGTATATGTTTGCATTTGTGTGAATGTGTGTGCTTGTGTGTGTGTGTGGCACAACTTGTCAGCTGTTTTTAGCATATCACGCAATCATGCAAGACCCAATGAAGAGTCTCTTAACACTCAAACGGAGCCCGCTTTCTTAGCTTTTTCGCCGGGCAGATAGTTTGCCGATACGTGTTGTCAGACAAACGCTTGCCAATACCCCAAAAGTGACGCAGAAATACTCACTTTCACCAGGCACGTTAAGAAGGCGATAAGAAGGCGATAAGATAGCCAATCAGCGGCATACACTAGCAATATACTTATCTTCTGCATCACGCAGAGCACACATCCAGGCACGGGCATGTTCAGAATTCCAAATACGTCTGAAGAGTTCCCAACAGTATTATATCTCGATCAAGCTTTCATATTAAAACTACAACTTTATATCTTAACATGCCATTCATCCTCTCTATTTCCAAACAAGAGTTGCTCAAATCTTTCAAAAAGTTCTCAAAACAAATCGTTTCAAAGATCCTCATAAAAAAAGAAAAGAAAACCTGACCTCCCCAAAAAGTATGCTATATTAATTCTTGTGAACTATCAACACATCCTTCAGTTTGTTTTTAGTTTACGTAATCCCAATATTTCCAGCTTTTTCGCATTGTAGCTTAACAAGAAATCAACAATTAAACAATTATAATGCTTAGCACCGTAACAGATTGGGGTCTATAAATGTGAATGTGAAGAGTCTGCTTATACTACTAAATGTACATAGCATTATCGAACTAATAATGAACATCAAAACAATAATCAATGAGTGCAATAACCAATAAAAAATTAACAAAAATGAATAGAAAAGAAATAAAAATCAATATAATTAAATGATTGAACTCGTTTTACTAGCCTGTAAATAGGTTGTAAAGCCCTGTTTTTACGTTATGATAATACCGAAAACTAGCCACAAATACCTAGCATGCAGCGTTAATTTTCCAGAAATTCCTATCTTAAAGTATCAGCAGCTTTTGCAACATGGACCTTACCTCGACTACACTGTATATACCAAAACTATTGTAACTGAAGCATAATTATCATTAAAATTATTATCATTATCAATATCATTAAAACTATTATCATTATCAATATCAATAAAATTATTATCATTATCATTATCATTATCATTATCATTATCATTATCATTATCATTATCATTATCATTATCATTATCATTATCATTATCATTATCATTATCATTATCATTATCATATCATTATCATTATCATTATCATTATATTATTATTATCATTATCATTATCATTATCATTATCATTATCATTATCATTATCATTATCATTATCATTATCATTATCATTATCATTATCATTATCATTATCATTATCATTATCATTATCATTATCATTATCATTATCATTATCATTATCATTATCATTATCATTATCATTATCATTATCATTATCATTGTGTCAATGTCAATATGTCATTGTCATCTTTATTATGTCATTATCATTGTCATTAAACATTAGGCAAATGCTTGGTACACTGTAACGCTAACTGGGCGAGCTTTGTTGTTTGCCGTCACTGTTGAAGCTTTGGCAGCTTTTAAAGCTCCGCCTTGCTCAACACAAGCTTTAAGTCATTTCAAATCTAATTTTAGTGTAGCTCAAGTAGATTAGTTTGTAGCCTTATTTTTAACAGTTTTATGTAAATATCGCACACAAGATTCAAAGAAAATTTAATTTGGAAAAATAAAGCTACATTTTTCTGATGATATTTTTTGATACGATTTTCTGCAATCTTAACGCTAAACCAAAATCAAATATAAGTAAAAAAAAAGAAAAACTAACACATATAACGGCACAATCAATTCTAACACACACTCACAACTTTTTCAGAAAACAATTTGTTTTTCTTATTTTCTTACATTTAAACTTCTTTCATAAATCTATAATATTGACCCATATTGGGCCTGTGGTCCGTCTAATGAAAAGAATATCAAATGCTATAGCTGTACAGCTGAGTCTTACACTTTTAGGCAGAAGCTTGGTTCCATCAAGTTGCGCAAAATTGTAATACTCAAAGCAATCAATTGTTCTTAAGAAATATCTCTATGATAAAAGAAAAAAGTATAAAAAAATGAAGAAAAATAAATTTGTGTTTGACACGTGCTACACGCTTGCAATAATATTGTTTATAAACTTGATGATTCTTCCCACCTGCCACTAGGTTGCGAAAAGTTAAAATGGATCAACGCAAACTAATGGATAATGCAAACACAATAACCGATATGGCCAAGGTAGCTAACAATCCATAATTTCTATAGAAACCCCAAGCTCAGCATTCCAATCTAATTGAATTTTTGTCTAATTCTTTCACAGACACAAAATACGGTCTATGAAATAATATCGGAAATGTCTAGCCGTCAGGATGCCATCGAGGAGCGTCTAACAAATCTAGAGGATAAAATGCAGAGTCTTCAAGTAAGTAACTGCACGATATGCACATTAACAACAATCGATAACATTTTCAATGCCACCCTCAATAGGAGCACATGGAAAGCCTTCCAGATCTATTATCGCGCTGCCTGACACAGCATCAGGAGCGCATCGAGCAACGACGCAACTTTCTACATCCGGATACAGCCGCCGCTGCCATACAGCCCATACAACCGGCCACGCCCCAATCCATGTTCAATGCGGCGCCCATGCTGTTCCCCCATTCTAGGTAAGTGCTGTGGGCAGCCAATTTTAAATCGGCTTTTGCTATAGCAATTGCATCATCGTATTTATCATCATCACCATCATCGTCATCATCATATAATCAGCAGCAGCAGCAGCATCATCGTCATCAGATCATTATCCACAAGACATACATTTCATTCCCATTGACTGCTATTATAGTTGAATTCCACTGAATATCATATTGAATGCCGTACTTTTCGAATCAAAGTGAATTTGTAAACACTTATGAAACGCTTGAATTGAAGAAACATAATGCTTGCTAAATTCATTCAAATACTATAAAAAGTCTACACACGGCTATGAACCGAGTCCTTTTGGATCCGGATTTTAGATTTTAATTAGGTGCACGAAGCGAAGGCAGCTTCTTCGAACCATGAACTGAGCCATTCAGTAATCTTTCTGCTAATGCAGCTCTGATAATAATACTCCCCTGTTATCGATATGTACCGTTATCAACTGTAATTTAAGCGTTGCCACCATTCCGAAAATCTTGTGCAGTGGAATTCAGCCATCGAATCATTTGTGTGTATGTTTGTATTTGTGCTACTTTGTAAAGACCCAGTAGTTAAGACACCTCCCGCTCCCACCAAAAAAAAAAAAAAGGAAAAACCAAATTGCAAGACCCGTTATTACAATTTGTGGCATTTTCTTCTATGCAAGATTCATGTGATTATTTTTGATGAAAAGCGTGTCTGTGAGTACTATCAATTTGCATTTGGTATTTTAAAGGCAAAAAAAAAAAAAAAAAAAAAAAAACAGAAAGAAAAAAAACAAGTCGCGAGTGAATTGATTGGTTTAAAATGCATTCCATGGCTTTTATCTCATATCATAAGTATATATCTATAGATATTTTTGCATATTGATCGAGCTCACACACATAAATCCATATGACAAAACATAATTATGATAATTATTAAAAAAAAAAAATTATAAAAAGAACAATTGACTTGCTTAACTGTAATAAGTTTTGGTCGAAAAATGAATCTAATTGAGAATATTAACATACTGCTTTTTGCATAGAAGTGTACCCTCATCCAATAACGCCGCTGCTACTTACCATTGGCCAACAAGCCCTATTTTGCCACCTATATCTAGTAGAACACCACATTTAGTGCCTGATACTCACATGCCATCAAATGGATCTGCAGTTAATAGCTACGCATCTTCCAACAAATACGGCAGCTGAATATCCGAAAGAGAGCGCTCCAACTCCGTGATTAACATCGAGATGCATATATTAAAACCAGCTAGAGCAACTACGTCAACAATATCATCCACATCAACAACAACATTTACGTCAATACCAATGCCCATGTCAAAGTCCATGTCACCAACTCTGATGGAGGTAGCGCTAAGGCAGCGTCTGCATTCGCCATCGTTGTCCGTCGAACCGGAACAGCTCTTCGAACTGAGCCATTATCAACAGACATATTCGCATTCACAGCAGCATTCGTATCCGCATCAGCGCACCCTGGAGAGCATCAGCATACCAGCCATACCGGAGGATGTCGAGATCATGACCAATGCGAACAGCAAAGGTTCACCCGATCCAAGTGCGCACCCGCAGCCCATTCACGCGGGCAACAGCGGTGGCAACGCTGGCATCTCCATAGAGATGGCAGCGGACATATCGATAGCGCAACCGATAACAACACAAATCGATAGCGATGCCAGAACGAATGCAACGATGACGACGACGACGAATGTCACATCGATTGCCACAAAGATCACTGAGAATAAGTTTACTAGGAAAAGAGAACGTGTATGCAATAATAGTAGTAATAGTAATAATAATACAAATAATAGTAATATTAGTAATTCTACAAGTCAAATTTCGAACTCGGCCTTTTGTAAATAAGCCTCTTCGAAATTAGAAAAACAAAAGTCAAACGTTAGCATATACAAACATATATATCTATATGTATATATATATATATATACAAATATACATATATATATATAGTATGTATATATATATATATTCATATAGGGAAGGTGTATTTTTTTTCTAAGCCTAGGATATTATTGGTATTTTCACAATAGTATCTAGTAATTGAATTAAATTACATAGCATAGCATTACCATTAAAAAGTGTGACTTGCAACCTGATGAATGATGAAACCAATAGACCCCAATCCCTCCCAATTCAATATAAAGGAAGATATGTATATAGGATTCCACATTCATGACAAAAGGTAACAGTTTATACCATAGCAAAAAGTTTGAATTCTGGTATCCCAAAATAGCAAGTCTACAAATCTTTAAAAAAAAAAAAAAAAAAAAAAAAGGAAAAAAAACATAATTATAATAGTAATAATATCATTTAAGAGTCTAAGTAAATGTTCAGATTATAAATCAGAAAACAGGCATATTAGTAAGAAGTATTGCATATGCTTCTTCAACAATATCAACAGCAAAATCCATGTACGTTCCTCTGTTCGACTATAAGTGCTAGAATCAGCAAAGTTTCTTATGTAGGCTCTACTGTATCCCTATAATTATATATATCAAAAACATTTGATATGCCGCCATTACAAACCCAAAAATCCATAGGAAATAAAAAACTAAATAAAGTAAAGTAAAAACCACGGTTTAGTATATGATATGTCAACTTATTTAACTTCAACTTACAGAACTTAACCATAGATTTTTGGTTTGCAGACACTCGGTTATATCAGCCCTATATATAAACATAGTCCCAAAAGTCCTTAGACTATATATGTGTGTGTGTGTGCGTGTATGTGTGTGTTTTTGTGTATGTGTGTGGTTGTATTCTGGTGCATAAAAATAACTTTATAAAGATGTTAATACGAGTATTCAAATTGTTCTATGTATTACGAACATAAGAGAAATTCATCTAAGTTCAACTAAAAATGTTGCTGGTTACGAAAAAAAAAACAAAAACAAAAACGAAAACAAAACAAAATAAGTGTACCACATATACATACATACAATTAAATAATAGCCCTGGCTTTAACGAACAACATTTTTAAAAACAAAAGAAAAAATACCAAAAAGGAGTTGATCATTTTAAGTCCCAAAGTAACTAAAAACCCAAAGAATTATGAACTCAATTAAGAACCTGACTAGCTTTTGAGAGAGGTACGAGATACAGAATATTCAAATAACTTAAATAAGCCCTTCAAGAACAATTTTAATTGAATTTTGTAATATATGTATTTAAAGAAAAGAACATAAAAAAAAACTATTTCAATTTAATATACAAATTAGTTGTAATGTAACAGGAGGAAAAATGCCCGAAAAAAGGGGAGAAAAAATACTAAATAAAAAAAATACTGTAGTTATAGCAGAGTGGCCGAGCTACGTAAGTTTTCTAAAGATTCTAAAAGGAAATACATAGACATACTATAAAGTATTAACTGAGAGCATCGAAGTTAATTTTTTTTTTCATAGGTAAATAAAGTAAGATGAAAAATAAGAAAAATCTATAAAAAAAAAAAATTAAGAAAAAACGCATAATTACAAATGCTTTTAGGCAAGTCGCAAGTAAAATAAAAAAAAAAAAAAAAACCATCAGAAAAAGAGTTCAACAAGTTTTACAACTGAATTCCCCAAACGAACATGCCAAGTTGCCGCCGCAAGACCAGGGAACCAGAAAAGAATAAAAAAAAAACCAACTAAGTACTAAATTGCAACTAACTGTTCAATAAACATTTCTCGAAGCACCCATTAGGAAACCATGTCCCAAATCGCTGCAATAGAGATGCGTCAATTAGTCCCCAACATTTTGTTTTTTTTTTACAACATTCCAATTCGTTATTTGCCATTGTGTTGCAATCAATTGGTATATTAATATCTTATAGTAACCATTTAAAATGTAAAATGAACAGTTAAATTTGATTTTTTTTTCATTCAAATCCAATTTGTGTTTCAAATGTGCACATCTCTAAGTTTTTCTTAAAGCGATCTGGCAGCACCAAATAGCAGAAAGAGTATGCGTTAAGTTGGCTGCGTTGAAAACCATCGTGAATAACTGTATACAGATTTTGTTGGATGCTCTTTTGCAACAATTTGAAACTTTGTAGCGATCATTTAGCAGTTAAATTGAATTGAACATTAGCCAAACTCACACAATATTAAGCCCAACTGTAGGTTGAAGTATGTGCATAAATAGCAAGTGCTTATTACAAATTCTGAGCAACAAAATATTCTCAATTTCCGCATGTTTTATGATAAATTCATCAATGATTTGGAAACAAAGTGAAAAATACCTAGAAAATATTGAACAAAACCAAAATAAAGACTACTACGTTGAATAACGAAAAAGTGACGTCACAAAAATGAAAATAAGAAGAGCCCTTAAACATGTATACCTATTTATATAATAATGAATATTTAAATTGAAATGAACGTTCAAGACTGCTGTCAAAATAGCTTTATCACAATAAAAAACACACACACATACATACATCTAACGAACACTGTGGACAAGTAACACGAACTAAGAAAAAATACGAAAACAAAAATTGAATAACTATATTTAGAAAAAAGAAGAAAGAAAACCAAGGAAAGGGGAAAAACAAATATGAAAAGACAAAGAACGCCCAGCTTTAATGGTTTTTACTATAATGCATCTTTGGGTTTCAACACTCCATCAAAAACTACAAAAAGAACAGGAACAAGAACAAACCGAACAAAACTAGAACAAGAAACATTTTTTCCCGTTTGAACTGGTTTCCTTGACACAATACCTAAAGACAAATTAAAACAAATAAAGAGAACTAAACGAATTATTATGAAGAAAACCAAAAACCAAACAACTTTGATATGAGGGACCGAAATTTAAAGACAGGTCTTAATTATACAAAACCAAATGAAATACCCTTTAACTGATGCCTAAACGAATACCATATATACTACTATATTGAACAATGTTTACCTATGCATGCTATATGCATATGCCATGGCTGCTATCGAGAACACGAATCGGCCCGGGGTGCACAGTGGTGCACATGCACATAGGAAGTATGGCCAAAATCAAATCGCAGCAAAATATTCAAAATCTTCAATAGGGTGACACTTTTCTAGTGCTAAACATTTATAGAGCCGCACTTTTTCGGCCGTTTTTTAAGAAAAGAAAAACTCTTTTGTTTTCTCTTTTGTATGTTATTTGTTTTATGATTTCCCAAGGCGCCCGGCCCACTGTGCACTGTCCACTCTTTCTGATGTATGTATTTGGGCAATTGTTCCATTTGTATTATATTTACATAGTATGTGTGTGTGTGTTCTTCTCAACAGCGAAACGTAATACTACGAAACAGTCAAACTTCAGTTCACATTATCCGCAAATTGAGTTCCACACCGAACATATAGCCCCAAGAAATCGAACAGATCGCAACAGATATAAACAAATTTTGGTATATTTACACGCTGCTTCAGTTCATCAAGAAAACCGATGTTTAAGCTAAATAGAAATCCGGCCTAAACGGCAAACGGCATAGTATAGTAAAACTTACAGAAAATAAAGATGAAAATAATACACAAAAAAAAAAACATGCATACAATATACATGTACGAGCAGTCAAACAACAACAACAACAACAAGAACAACAACATACTATATACTCTATATATATGTATTCTATATATACATAAGATACTAAAAGATCATATTTGACTTTACATGTATTATAGTAATGTATTCAGTAGTTGAACGAGAGCCGATGCAAAGACCAATTTATTAAGCATAAACAATTATGTTAAACTAAACAATAAAAGATTAAAATATATATATATAAAGAAAACACAAAACTTAAATTACAAAATAAAAATAAATAAAAACAATGCGAAACAATTTTTTATTAAACCAAACACGAGCAAGTAATGTATTTAAAAACCAAATGAAAACTTTAACTAATTCAAAACTTAAACCCAAGAAAAAGAAAAAAACCAAAATTTATATGCTGAAAAATTAAACAAAATGAGATTAAATAAAAACAAACATTATGTTAAACAAGCGAAGAGAAAACGTATTAAACAAAAATTTCTAAAAGAAATGAAAGCTAAAAATACAAAAGAAAAAATAACGAAAATCAGAAGAAGAAGAAGAAACATGCGATGTAATTTACAAACAATTCAGTGGCTATACAAATAGTTTATTTTGAATTAACGGTATTGTATATTTAAATTAATATTGTTATATATATATATATATATATATATATATATATATATATATATATATGTATATGTATATATCTTATCGAGGAACCGTGTTTTGCAAAAGCTTTAATATTTAGGGTGCCTACATTTGCTAAATTAGTATTTTACGATTTAAAAAGAGGTAGAGAAACCAACAACACAACAAGACAACACACTCAAGCACACACATACACACACACACACACACACACACACACACACACACACGCAGTAATAGAAGACAACAATTACCGATTAAATGAAAATTTTAAAATGTAGTCCTTAAACGCATAAAAAGATGTTTTGTCAAAACATAAAATAAACAACAACAACAACCACAAGAAAAATGAAATAAACTTATTAAACAAAAAATATATCCATTCGCGATTTTTCAAAATGTACACAAAATAAAACAAAAACAAACTTAAACAACAACAAAAAATTAACAAAAAAAAAAAAACAAAAAAAAAATACAAATGAAAAAAAAAGCAAACAAAAAAATTGTATTTCGAGATATGAATTTTAAGAATGTTTATTAGATTTACGATTTGTTATTTTGTATACATATATATATGTATGTAGTATAAACTGATCTGATTTTTTTTTTGCTCATTAAGCATTTACCTCATAAGAATTCCCACTATTTATAGCAAATTTACCATTACATAAATCAATTGATGTACTGTTATAATGTACACACACCCAAAGCAAACAAATGAACAACAACAA